TATTTACAAAGGCTGGAGATAATTTGTACCTTATAGTTTTTCACTGCCCAAAGGCAATGCAATATTCAAGTGTCAAAAGCAAACAATAAAACAGAAATATTTTTCTTCATTAATAAACCAGATGGCTTCTTATGCATGAGTTAGGAACTCACAGCAACCGTTTAACAACATTTTCTCAGCTTGATTGCAAGATATGCTGTGATGGGTTAAAACTTGGAATGAGAATTTCAGCAACTATTGCACATGCAATAATGCTACAATGCTACAATGTTCATTATAATAGGCATGCAGATCAATTCTGTCTCTCTCTCTCTCTTTCATACACACACTCAGTCACTAACATTCTCTTTCAACCTTTAACTGAGTGAAACAGCAACAATTTTCGAACCAAAGTACCACACACCACAAAACGTGTCCAAAAACTGGGACCCACAAATCCTGGGGAATTGAAATTTTGTAAATTTTATAAAATATTTTATGACATAAAATTAGCATAAAACAGTTTGTGATGTAAAACAAAATGTTATAAAATAGTTCCTCTGCTAATGTTTGACTATGTTATATAGTTAATTGTGGGCCATTTTCAAGGCAATATATTAGAAACCAGTATTGAAGGCACTGAGGAATCTGGTAAGGAAATATCTGACAGGATGATTCAATGGAAAGGCTAACTAAATATATGTAGTTATTAACTGGATGTTAATATTTACAAAAAACTTTTGTTACAATGATTATTGGAAAGGTAGAATATTTTTCATTTCTAGGTATCACTGACATACAACTGTTCTCCAGTTCTAAGCTACGGTATTATGTACAAGATTATTATATACACAGTTTATTTTACAAAGCTAGATTCCACTTTGAGATCAAATTTTAGGAACTTACTTGTGTGGTAGTTTATCCACATTTCAGATATATATTTCAAATTATCATTTCATAGCAAATCTGACCAGCTTTTAAAAAACTATATAGAGTTTTGACTTTAAAAAAAATTGTTAAAGATTTGTCGAAAGAATATTTTTTGATCAATTGCACTGCAAATTCCTGCTAGGAAATTACTGTTTCTCTTTAAAAAAAATGAGAGAACACTAGTTATGACATTGCATATTGAAAAAGTATCTGTATAAACAATAGGCAAATGCATTTCTTACTTTGTGAAGAGCATTAACATAGATTAAAAACCTTTCTTTAAAGCAGGGGTCTCCAAACCTGGCTACTTTAAGACTTCTGGACTTCAATTCCCAGCATTTCTCAACCAGCATGACTGACTGAGGAATTCTGGGAGTTGAAGTCCACAAGTCTTAAAGTGGCCAGGTTTGGAGACCCCTGCTTTAAAGCATCAAAGTTGTCAGACTTCACCTCAATACACCTAAGTTCATATTTCTCAACTCTTTCAGAATTAACTTATTTGGCAGTAGACTCTAAGGCATGTGTTGGCTAAACTAGCTAAACATGTTACCAGAGACAAAGAAGCATGCAAAGATTGGCATGCTACAGAATACAAAAGTCAGAGTATGTATGGACTCTTCCCCAAGATGGCTGCTGAAGGTAAGGAGCTTTTTTTTCTCTTGCCAACTATGTGCTGGTTTTGCTGCCAAAGCTGATCCTCTGGCAGTGCTATTCCCTGGATTTGTATGGGAGCACTTAGGAATGACCCAAAATGGCTTTTGGACTGTCATGGACCCACTTGGGAAGGGGAATCTTGAAAATTCCAGGTCCCTCTGGCAGTGGTTGGAAAGTCATTGGGCAAATCCATCTTCCTGTCAGCAGCTTTGCTTTCTAAGCAAGCCTGGGTTTTAACTTTTAACTTTTTGAATTTATTATTTTACATCGCTTTTTGTCTTTAAAAGTTGACAAGCTGTTTGAATGCAGATTTATTTCTTTGAAGTTCAATCCTGAATTTCTTTACAATACTAGAAACCTGACTGAGTGGGGAAGTGACAAGTTTTTCTTTCCTACGAGAACTGAGGGAAATTAGAGAATCAATTTATTACACCTAACTGGAAATCACTTCTATATAGACTTTGTTCAGAAGATAGACTCACTGTGGAGATAATAATATTTAATTGAACAACAATCCATAAGAGATGGCATTAAGAAACAAACATGGACATTTGATCCAGGGCGGATCAATTTTTTAATTTTTAAAAATTTAATTTTTGGGATGATTTAGGATAGATAAAATGCTGTGGCAAATTTTCTATGAGTGGAATGGATTATAATAAGGATTTGTTAACCAAGAGTTTTGAAACCTTGACCTTGTCCTTTTTATTATTATTATTGTTCTTCCTAGCTATTTGGTCATTACCATGTTTTCCCGAAAATACGACATGTCCTGATAATAAGGCCATGCCACATTTTTCGGGTGGGCAAAAATGTAAGCCCTCCCCCAAAAACAAGCCCCCTGGACAACCCCCCTCCAGCCAGGCAGAGTGCCACTCACCAACCTAGCGGTATCTTGAAGGTGCCAAGCCGCAGAAATGGGGGGGGCAAAGACTCGCATTGCTTGGCGCTTTCGGGATACCGCTAGGTTGGTGAGCGATGCTGTGCCCAGCTGGAGAGGAGGGTTGCCAGGTGGTTGCTCTTTTGCGAGCGGGCTCCCAAAGAGCCGGGCACAGCCTCAGGGTCTAACGGCTGTGTTGTGCTGTTGCGCAAATCCCCAAATCCCCTTTCCAGCCGGGCACAGTGCCATTCACTGACCAAGAGGTATCGCCAAGCTGCATGAGCAGCTGTTCACCACCTTCCAGCTCTTGCGGCTTGGCGCCTTCGGAATGCTCCTAAGTCAGTGAATGGGGCTCTGCATGGCTGGAGAGGGGTGTTGCGCGAGTGGCTTTTCCGCTCCCCGCTCGTGTGCCTCCCAGCCTCACGATGCCCTTGCCTAACTCTCCCTGCAGAGCCAGGGCAACTCCGCTGCTGCAGGATTCAGCTGTGGATCTCCGGAATTTGGAAGCCGGAGAATAGGTTATGCTTGGAGCGCCGCGGTGGCAGCGCCCTGGCCCTGCAGGGAGAGCTGGGCCAGGGCATGGTAAGGCTGGGAGTCACCCGAGCTGGGGATGAAAAAGGCGCTCACGCAATCTCCCTTTACAGCCAGGCAGAGCACCATGCACTGACCTAAGGATATCCCAAATGCATCAAGCCGTGGGAACTGGGGGGAGAGCAGAGCACCACACGGCTTAGCACCTTTGGGATATCACTGGGTCTACACAGCTGGAAAGGGGGGTTGCCGGGTGGCTGCTCGGGAGCATGGTCACCTCATGGCTGGTATGTTGCGCTGCTGCGACAGTGCAACACAGCCATTTGCCCCTGAGGCTGTGCCTGGCTTTTTGGGTGCCCACTCCCAAGACAGCAGCCACCCGGCAACCCCAAAACAATAAGCCCCTCCAATAATAAGGCCCAATTAATATTTTTTGGGTCAAAAGAAAATAAGACCCTGTCTTATTTTCAGGGAAACACGGTAATATGCCATATAGAAGACTGGTCAATAATTTGCAAATAGATTTACCAGCTTAGAAATAATCAGCAATATCTGAGGATTATAGGTTTCCCATGTCCATTTAAATGCTGTTTGGCAGTACATAGAGTAGGCAGCCAACTTTCTCCCAGATTAACTAAACCACTTTACAATCCCTGCTCATGCTGATCCTCATGCTGACTGGAATGATGGAATGTGTAGGTCAATGCAACTGACAGAGCATTGCAGCAGGCTATTCTAGATTGTAGCATCTGTTTTATGCTAGCAGATTGGACCGGAGTCCTGACAAGAAGAGAGGAAACCTTCCATGCATTCAAAACTGGAATATTTTTCTTCCTGTCCTAGAAACCCCATATTTATCATATAAACTTGCAAACATCTGTTTCCCAAGACCAATCCTCCTCTTCAATACAATTCAAAGAATTCAAATTTTGATTGATTTGCAAAAACGAGGGGTTTTTTATCCTTCCCCTTCCCATCAAGCAAACATTTGTCAGCAGGGATGGGACTGTTTTCATGATTTTAGGCTTAGTCCACAAAGAAATGTTATTTGCCCATGAATAATGTATAATTCATTCGAAGTGGCAGCAAACACTGTTTGCTGCCTTAGAAAGTGTACTATTTCTTATTTTCAGGGAGACACATGAGTGTAGGCAGAAGAATTGATATTCCTGCCAAGAGGACAAAGGGAAATTTACTTTGATTCATGACATAGTGCCTTATTTCCGGATCAATATAAATGTAATAATTTTTTGTTGTTGCTCTTTTGATTTTTTTTCCAGCAAAAGTGCAATCAAATATACTTCCAGTAATAATGCCCCCCTATTTCCTAAATCTAAAACAGTATCAAAACTAAGTTACAAAAAGGATTTTTCTAAAATTCCAGCAGTTTCACTGAGAGTAACATAAGGTAAAGCTATCTATTGACAAACAACCATATGTTTGAATGCCATATAGAGAGAAATAATGCAGCATCTCAGACATATGAATAGAAATTTGTCCAGAGAAAAAGACTGGCCAAAATTAGAAGAATCATCAACAATGCTGTTCCAAAGAACAGTCTTAAAAAATACAGAATAACTCAAACTATTGGAAGAGAATATACTATTTTATGGACATAGAACAACACCTGGATGATTTCCACCATTAAAAAAATCCAAATAAAATGAAAAAAGGCAATTCTGAAATAAATTGCATCCTTAATGCTGTGAAATGAGCCCAGATATATGCCAAGAAATTGCTAAACTGATGTATTTATTACTTGATTCATGTACTTTCATCTCTTTATAGTTTCATGCCACAACCAGAGGTTTTTGGTTTTTTTTGTATGAAATGCAGGAAGACTATGACTTACCTTTTTCTACAATAAATTCTATGCATGCATGACAAATCCAAACATGCAAAATGTTTAATACCCCAGTTCAGAGATACCTCAGGGACAAAATCCAATTATGAGTTATATGCCACAATAAATAGGATTCAGCATTTCACAGAGCAATTTATAATTCATAAAAACAACAAAATGTACCTGTCAGATAGAACCCGGAGAGTAGATTTCTGTGCTGCCTGCTGGAAAGAAGGGCAGAGATGTTTATTTTATACAACTTTTAAAATATGAGCTCAATCAACACTTAAAAAATGTGTCACCCACATTCTTGTCACATATCCAAATTTTAAGGATTTACAAAGTTACACTATAGCCATCTGGCTATTTTCCAGCTATTGTACACCATGTAATAGCAGTTTGTTAGATTAGCACTTTTGAAATATTAAAGAACTTACCCAGACATTTAAATCTGAAAAATCCTATTTGGAAGTTTTTGTTTTTTTAAATGAGAAAAAAAATGTCCTTCCTTTGAACCATTAGCAAACTGTTCAAGGATGGCAACAAGCATCCTAAGGCACAGTTGTGATTAGTTGCCAATTTTAACTTGGCAAATTAACAGGGCTACCTACAGATGAGTAAATGATCCATTGATAATTACCTTATGGCTATGTAGTATCTTTATTGGATAATGTAGGAAATACGTTAGCATGGAAGTCTCTTGCAGAGGGTAAGAAACTTTTTAAAAAATAACAGAAAATTCAGATTTAATCAGATGATTAACTTTCCATTTCACTGCTGATCTTTTGTGGACCTACTTTCTAGCTTCGCTTGTATGTCCTCCAAAATACGCCAGACAGGAAATACAACCTCATGAGCTAATTCTATTTATTGTAAGGCTACATTAACAGAATCTTGCAAGTCTGAAAATACAAATTTCTTTTTATAGTCTGATCAATTATGGTGGGTCCTTCTTAAGTTTCTTTCTCTAACTGTTAAGCAACTACAGGTTCCTCCCTCCCTTGTCTGATTATTCGCTAGGCGGCATCTCTTTACCTTGTCCCATAAGATTACTTGCAACATACCATTATATTACTTTATTACCTGCAGATATCTATAATGTAGGAGTTCTCAAATTATGGATCAAGATTCCAGGCAGGGAAAACAATTGGGTGCAAGATGTCCCAATTTCTTATTAAACTTAATTAGACATGCAAATGAAGTGGGACCAATATCAAAACTCACTGTGAGCTATGTTTCTTGTTTGGTCTGATTAAGCTTGCATCAGGCATAGCATGCTAATATTTCAGAATTACCAATGATATGCATTTGAAAATGTAATTATGAAAATAAAGAACACTAACTGTAATGAAATCATTAATTTTATTAAGGAGGTAAGGATGGATCTCATGCAAACTTATCATTTTAGGTGATGACATTACCATAACATTTGAAACCCCCTGCTTTAGTGGCAATTTTCTTGGCTATAATACTGTGTCTGGTTTGACTTCATCCATTCTGGAATGTACCATTTTAGTTTATAATAAAGAGTTTTTATTAAAAGGTTTACTTTCAAAAAGACATTAAGTGTCAAACTCCAAAAACCAAGAAAGACATGCTGAAGTTCTTCTAAGCAGTTTCCTTTATTGTTTCTTACCTACAGACAGAAATCTTGCCAAACCAAAGCAGACTGTTTGCACCATTAAATATACTCTATATTCTGAGAACTCCTTGAAAGGAGCTGTCTTAACTCTCTTCCTCCCAGGCAAACTGTCTACATTTCTCTGTCTTTTGCTCCTCTAGAATGCACTCTCACCCTCATGGGAATTTGGACTTCATTCTATCACATCATGTTACTGTACTTTGCCTTATTGTCAACACTTTGTAACATATTGATTGATGTAGCTGATTTGTGTTATATTTTATTGTACACAAGGCACTTGGAATGGTACATAAAGGTAAAGGTTTCCCTATCAGTCGTGTCTAGGGCATGGTGCTCATCTCCAATTCTTGGCCAAGGGAGCCAACGTTGTCCGAAGACAATTTACATAGTCATGTGGCCAGCATGGTCATATGCCAAAGGCACATAATGCCCTATTTTATAGTGGCCTATAGTCTCTTTGAGACTTTCATGGCTGAGCATCTTCATCTAACACACACTTTTGTAACATATACAACAATGCAAATAGCTTGAGGATATAGGGTACAGCCAGTTTCCTCAAATTCAGGTTGGACGGTAGAAATTCAAACTCTATGATTGAAGAAATTCAAGAAACTTATATATCTTCAAGAGAAGTATACTATAGAAGCATACGTTCTGTTAGGCAGTATTTATTTTTTCTGAGATCTAATTTCTATTTTGTTATTTTCTATTTTTCACCTGAAATAATAGGCTCTCCCTAAAATATAGGTAAGATATACAAGTGAAACTCGAAAAATTAAAATATTGTGCAAAAGTTCATTTATTTCAGTAATGCAACTTAAAAGGTGAAACTAATATATGAGATAGGCTTCTTTCCTTGCAAGGCAGGTTGGTTCAGGTTTTGTTTTTTCTTATTTTTGTTGTTTTTGGGTTCCGGTTCTGAAAACCCCAAATGCACTATTTCAGAAAATTAAAATATTACATGCAATCAATAAAACAAGGATTGTACATAGAACAATATCGGACCTCTGAAAAGTATAAGCATGCATATGTACTCAGTACTTGGTTTGGGCCCCTTTTGCAGCAATTACTGCCTCAATGCAGTGTGGCATGAAAGCTATCAGCCTGTGGCACTGTTGAGGTATTGTGGAAGACCAGGATGCTTCAATAGCGGCTTTCAACTCTTCTGCATTGTTCGGTCTCATGTCTCTCATCTTTCTCTTGTCAATGCCCCATAGATTCTCTATGGGGTTCAGGTCAGGCGAGTTTGCTGGCCAATCAAGCATAGAAATCTCACGGTCATTGAACCAGGTTTTGGTGCTTTTGGCAGTGTGGGCAGCTAGAAAATGAAGTCAGCTTCCCCATAAAGCTTGTCTGCTTGTCTTCCCCATAAAGCTTGTCTGCAGGAAGCATGAACTGCTCCAAAATCTCCTGGTAGACGGCTGCATTGACCCTGGTCTTACTGAAGCACAGTGGTCCAAAGTCCTGTTGCTCAGTGGTCCAAAGTTCTCTTTTCTGATAAGAGCAACTTTTGTATCTCATTTGGAAACCAAGGACCCAGAGTATGGAGGAAGAATGAAGAGGCCAATCAAGCACAGTAATCCCATGGTCATTGAACCAGGTTTTGGTGCTTTTGGCAAAAGTTGCTCTCATCAGAAAAGAGCACTTTGGACCACTGGACAACAGGACTTTGGACCACTGTGCTTCATTAAGACCAGGGTCAACGCAGCTGTCTACCAGGAAATTTTGGAGCACTTCATGCTTCCTTCTGCAGACGAGCTTTATTCATTTTCTAGCAGGACTTGGCACCTGCCCACACTGCCAAAAGCACCAAAACCTGGTTCAATGACTGTGGGATTACTGTGCTTGATTGGCCAGCAAACTCGCCTGACCTGAACCCCATAGAGTATGGGGCATTGACAAGAGAAAGATGAGAGACATGAGACCAAACAATGCAGAAGAGCTGAAGGCAGCTATTGAAGCATCCTGGTCTTCCATAACACCTCAGCAGTGCCACAGGCTGATAGCTTCCATGCCACACCGCATTGAGGCAGTAATTGCTGCAAAACGGGGCCCAAACCAAGTACTGAGTTCATATGCATGCTTATACTTTTCAGTATAAGCAGTATATTGTTCTATGTACAATCCTTGTTTAATTGATTGCATGTAATATTCTAATTTTCTGAGATGGTGGACTTGGGTTTTCATGAGCTGTACGCCATAATCATCACAATTATGACAAATCATGGCGTGAACTACCTTGCTTTGCATGTAATGAGTCTTATCTCATATATTAGTTTCACCTTTTAAGTTGCATTACTGAAATAAATGAACTTTTGCACAATATTCTAATTTTTCGAGTTTCACCTGTGTTTTTGAAACATTCCATTCCAAAAGTAGAGATAAGTCAGTCTATTTGTCTATGGAGATTCTCAATCATCCAGGTCATGGTTGGCCATCTCTGACTGGGTGTGGGGAATAGAAGGATTTATATGCCTTGGGTCAGAACAATTACAAGAAGTCCAGTTGCCTCCTGAAAAAGGACCTTTGGGATGGTCAGCCTATTTGTAACCATTTTAGTTCCACATGTGCGCATACGTCTATTTTAGTTCCACAGGCATTTATCTATTTTAAAAACACAGCATGACATGCAAGTATGGAAGGCATTTAAAATATTAATTATAATTATACGGTTCACTTCTTATCTTAAACTGATGTGCACCTTTTTCAGTGCTTGGCTTTTGAAGGGGAGGAAAGGAGATGCACTCTAAAAATAGCACATGAAGTAAAAAAAAACCTTTATTTACAAATAGTCCTCAACTTATGACTACAATTGAGTCCAAAATTTCTATTGCTAAATGAGACATTTGTTAAGTGAATTTTGCCACATTTTATTATCTCTTTTTGCCAAATGCTAAGTGAATCACTGCAGTTATTAAGTTACTGACATGGTTATTAAATGAATTTGACTTCCCATTGATTTTGCCTGTCATAAGGTTGCAAAAATCACATGACTCAGGGATACTGCAACAATCATAAATATGAGTCAGTTGCCAAGTATCTGAATTCTGAAGGATAACATTATTATTTGTACATTACCACTGGAAAAGTGGATTAGGTTGTTTTCTTAAAAAGGCAATTCAAACAAAGCCTCATTCATTTATAATGAATTTTGCAGTTCGCCATACTATCTTACCTCTTATCCTCCTGTTATAATTTATTTTAATCCTGCTTTCTGAGAACTATTAAAAATTATATTGTCTTTTATTTAGCTCAAATAGCATTACCTTGGAGAAAATCTTGTGTTTATTTGAAAAATGATCACATATAGATGATACAATGCCCATTTTATAATTTGGTACCATTAATTATTCTTGATTGACACACAAATTGATTGTCAACCTTGTTTTCTAAGCTCCTTTAAAAAGTGATCTCACTTAAGGAAAGGAAATATCCTTTCAAAAGATGAAATAAAAGATAAGAAATATTGTTTCATGACATCACAATTGCTGATAGATTACTATATGACATCATGGTAAAATGATTTGTAAACTAATGTATACCCAAGCATTATAAGTTTTAATTATTTGCTTCACAATACTG